TTGAATCAATAACTCAGCCAGGGACCAGAAATCTGTTATCACTGAGAAAGCGTGGATACATTTTACTGGGACATGCTCAGGGTTAGAGAGAATTAGCCATGTGGAGGGATTATCAGGCCTGGCTGAAGTTACCTGCAAGTGAGAGAAAATTCAGCTCAACTCTTTTTGTCGGAGTAAAAATTCCTATTTCATTTCTTCAGCAAATTGACTGTTTTCACATGGTGGTAACTCACTTGTTTCAACAAAACTCATGCCTGAAGGCTGCAGAAAAGGCAGCTCTTCCCCACTGAAACCCATGTGAATTGTGGTCCTGCAGTCATCGTAGCCATTTGTTCTCTGCAGTCTACCAAGCAAGGACTGGATCATCCCTCAGGAGGCCCCAGATCCCACCCTGGGGTGTGTCTGAGTAGGCAGGACAAGGAGAGGACCAGCCTGAAAGCCAAGAGGTATTAGAGAGGCAAATGTTGCTGAAACTGCACAAAGTGGTAACACAGCCTGGTACATACACCCCTGGGAAATGCCAGTCCTGGGGTGCAGGGCTGGTTGCTTTCAGATGCTGAAGACCTACTCTTCACATCTTCTTTCAGTAAGCTCCACTGTCACCCTTTTCATCTCACTGCTCTTCATACAATCCTCTATCCTCTTACAGGAGCAATAATCAGTTGTAATTCCTAACTTTCACTTCTCCTGATCTGGGACTTAAGAAACTGAAAGTATCATGTGCCCAAAGCAAGCAAATCGGGGTTTTCAGAAGTGTTTATAGTGCTAGCCTTATTCTTCAGCTGCCTGCCCCAAAGCTAATCCCCCCACTGCCTGCCCACCGAGCCGTTCCTAAGTGCTTCAGAAATTCCCACCTGAACTGCAGTGTCAAGTGATGACACTGCACACCTCATTAGTGGTGCTATTATTGTACTTAATGAAGTAAAGAATCGATGATGACTTTGAACTTTCTTTTTATTTGTTAAAGATCTTTCTTCATGGTAACAACCTGAACAGTCTTCACCAGCTAATACACCCTGAATGCCTGCCCTCTGAATTTGGGGGGACTCTTCCTCCCTATGACATGGGGACATGGGCTCGAACATTACTTGGTCCTGACTACAGTGATGAAAATGAGTACACCCACACCTCCTACAATGCCATGCACGTGAAGCACGCATCCTCCAACCTGGAGCGGGAGGCCTCACCCAAACCCATGAAAAGGTTAGTACTGTCTTTGAAATCATCTCTTATTTGGCTCTCTGAATAGGTTTGGTATAAATCTCACAGGAAGGGCTCATCTGGCTCAAAGAGAGGCTGTAATTTGGCAAACAGTGATGGTAAGGAGCACTTCACCCTGGACTGGGCTCATGGTGTGATGGGAGAAACAAAGCCTCTCGGTGGAACCATAATTACTTGTCTGATTACTGTGCATGAAAATGAGGGAAAATTAATGAGCCTCTGCACAGAGCATTACAGAAAGTACATCAGAGTGAGATGCTGTTCTGCACGGCGCACTGCGGCCAGCTGCACTGCTTCAGTGCTGGTCGCTATTACTTGCTGCTGCTTTGCTGCTGCTGACCTGGTTGTTATTGGTAAGGGATTTACCTCCTCAGAAACGCAGCCTTTGTACGATGAACACCACTGCCCTCTAAAGGGAGAACGGATTGGTCTCCTCTCTGCTTCTGCGCGCTCCATCCAGCCCTTCAAAGGCAGCAGCAGAGCTGTTCTTTTAGGAGCTCTGATTTTAGTTCTAGTGATTGTGCATTCAGCTTTGAGTGCTCAAAATAACACCTTTGGAGAGTACCACCCTCACTAGTTTGGACTGATTGCAGGGATGAGGTCAGGAAGTTGGATACCTGGCACAGGGTTGTGGGTGTTGTAGTCTAGCCAACACCAGCTGCAGTGATCAATGGCCTGGTCTGCTCCCCTGCATGAGTGTAACATCTGCACTCACGTCACCCTTGGCATCCCACTCTGTGAAACTGCTTTCCATGCAGATCGCAGTGATGCTTTCCTCACTGCTGCCACTTGATGAGTGTGGTGCTCGCAAGCACAGCGTCACTCTCTGTGACAGGGAGCAGCCATCATTTTGTCACAGCAAAATCAAAGCTGACAACACAGACAAGCCATAATGTCATGCAATTAATTTTAAAAGTCTTTCATCTTCAGAGGAAAAAGAAATGCATTCTTGATTCACAGCTCCCTCCCAGGTCAGAGGGATGCCACACAGCTGTGTCTACACAGTGAAGCCTCGTGCTGGAAACACTAACACTTATGACTGACTTTAAGTGTTCACAGGGCTATGACTTACAGGGCCACAAGACAGCAGGGCTATGAGCTGCAGCCAAAGCATGAAGAGAGGTGGCCATTTGTGTTTTCAGCAGTTCTCACTACTGACTGCCAGCCAAGGCTGGGAGCCAGGATGAGTTTACAGAGCCTGTCCCAGAGAACTGATTTTAAAATTTATTTTGAAAAAACCATATTGTCATTGAAACACACTGAATGATTTTAGAAAAATACTAACTAAATATTTCATTATTATTAAAACATATCTCGAGAGTATACAATTTATGCAGCCTTATAGAAAGAAGTCTGCAGTTTTTTTAAAGCTCTGAAGTGTTAAGAGCTGTTCACAGGTAAATTGTTGCTGAGGATTGGATCCTTGGCTGCAGAGAATGGAGGGTCTTATCGTGCCCTCAGGGGAGAACCTCGACTTGAAAATTAGTTCAGTGCCAGAAAACCCTGCCTTGAGGCAAAGCCTTCTCTTATAATCTGTTCACTGATACAAAAGTGCATTAATACAAATACGAGTAGTGGATGAATCTAATTTGTCATGTTGCCTCTGGGCAGACTAGATCTAACTTTTAGCCTAATTTCGTTACTCTGCGGTTAAGTGAACCATCTGATCTTGTACCCTGTGGTCATTACTTGCTGTTAGAGGTGAAAAGTTCACAGCTTCAACAGATTTTCTCCTATGAGTATTTGCTTTGATTCTTCTTCCCCTGAAATTATGATTTGGCCTAACTTGAGGTAAAAGCCTATGCTTAGAAAGCATGATTTTGTGCTTTATTAGATTTATTAGGCCAGATTTATATCTAAGGCCTCTTTAAAGTTCTCCAGGCTTCTACCAGCAATACCTGTCTTTATATATCTTCCTTCCTGGCCTCTCTAGATTCATGCATCTCTAACACAATCAGAAGCTCAGGCTATGGCTGATTCTTGGATATTCCAGGGAGGTTTGCATTAGGAATAGGTGATCTCCTAACATTATTCATCTTAAGTATAATTCCCTCACAATTGCCCTATCATTTCTTCCTTTATTAAAGCAATTTTGTAGTTTCATTGAAAATCTCTCCTCTCCCACTCACAGTGTACACTCTTATGTAACATGTTAATTTTGTGTTTCTCTGACGAAATGTTGGGTTTAACAAACAAAAGGTCACTGACATTTTCTTTCGCACTTACGTTCCTCTGAAAGGGATAAGTATATGAAGACAGAGCCACCTTGGGTTTCTGCAATTTAAGGATGAAAAGCCTTGCTGAACAATTATGGGTCTTCTCCTCTTTGACTTCCCAGATGTCACTGCCAAGTAGTCAGCTGCAGGGGAGGGCAGTGCTTGTGAGAGGTGGATTTACTCTGGAGGCTGAGGCTACAGTGGTTATTCCCCACACCATGGCACTGTCATGCTGCATGACAAGGTGCAGAGTTGAAGTCCCTTCTTGGCTCTATGGTCACTTGCTGTAAAAACATGCAAGAACATCCTTGCTAGAGCTGCCACTGGACCAGTGCTGTATTAAAGTGTTCTGAATCATTGAGCTCAATGCTGCTATAAAGCTGAGAGCATTGCACTGTAACCACAGAGAAATGTCCCTGTGAAATCTAGTGCTGCCATCCTACACCTAGAGAGAAACTCACCCTGGGCACAATCTACTCCAAATATAGTGTTTAGCAATTTTAGTAGCAGAGATGCTGAGAAATCAGGATGTGAATTATAGATCTGAAAGAAAAGTGTCAGGAAATGGAATCAGAGAATAGCTGACAAAAATGCTGTTGTAGGTACTTGATGTGTGGTAGCAAATGAATGCAGAGGGGGAGAAATAGAGCATTTTTGAGATATGCCCAATACCAAAGTAAAGTCATGTCCTGAAATTTAAAATAAGTCTCAAAATGCAGACCAAGAGGAAATGCAGCACCAAGCAGCAGGGGGAGGGGGGCTGAAGCTGGAGTAGGTATACACCTGCACATTGGCTTCAGGACTGATAGCAGTGCTTCAGCTCCTGTCACCAGGGCAGGTGTATATAAATTGAAACAAATTTACCTCAGAGTTGTGGGAAGGATGAGGAGACCAGAGATTGTATTTTTCCATCAAAAAAATGTAGAAGACAGTGGTTTGTTCAGCCTCACAAAGCGAAGCTTGAAATGGATTTGAAGGAAATAAAAACTGGGGAGAGAGAACAGATATTTGAGAAAAAGGACAACTAAGGCATGGGATCAAATGGGTATATGCCAACCAAAGTATACCTTAAAGTAGGTTTGCTAGTCATCAGAGGACTGAAACTGTCAATATGACAGCCTAACATATACGAGTGGAAAGGTCCAATACAAAGTAGCTGCAGAAGACTAGACTTGCCCATCAAAGTCTTGTTAGATTCCAATTTCTGCTCCCTTTAACAGCAATGGGACCCAAATGCCCTCTTCTCCCCAATCACAGGAAAGGAGTTTTTTTCCCTGTGACTTGAACCTGCACAAGATTTGTTGTCAAAAAACTGTCCTTGTTGACTTCAGAGAACGGAGGCATTGTAGAGAGGGAAAGGATTGAAAATCGCCTTAGGAAAAGACTTCAACTGACTATAGTCAGTGATATGATCTTGAAAACCTTGAGATTTGACAACTTCCTATAACATGGAAAATCTTTAATCAAAACCATTTCAATTGTCATTTTTCCACCAGTGGCCACATAAAGCCCCACTGGGGCAAAATCAAAACAGTGGAAATTTCACTCCCATCTGCAGTATTATCTCAGAACCCAAGTGCTTTATGAGCAGATGGGAAACAAAGCAAAACAGCTGATGATTCCACATAATGAGTCTTAATAGCTGGGGGGGAGGGGGGGGAAGCTACAATAACAAAAATCCATTCAGAATATATCTGTTTATTAAGATTCAGCTCAGTGAAGTCTAAAATGGGCAAGGTAGTAAACATGCAAACCAGCATTTATACAGTAATAGCAAAGTCAGTTCACTCTGAGAGCTCGGCCCCATCTGTTCAACATTCCTGGAAGCAGCAATAGCAACAGACCCTTCCTCTGTCTTGGGCCATCTCTTCTGAAGGGGCTGCATCCACACAGGGAGCCTTTCACTTTCGAGCATTGGGACTTGAGAGCAATGTAAATGGTGTGAAAATTTGAAGGACAGGGAAGAAAATCACCTCCCGTTCAGCTATGGTGAAACCTTCTGTGAGCCCTACTGGTCAGAAAGGGGCCTTGGGTTGCTTTAGTCAACAGGGAGCTCACAAAAAACAAAGCATTTGCCTGAGGCACTCATGCTGGCTTTTGTTGGTGAGCTGTTGGTTTTGGGAACAGCTGGAGGTTTTATCTGGGTGTGTAATGTAATGAATAGTTATGGTGGTTGGTGGATGGCAGTTAAAGAGTCAGAGAATGCTCTCAACTCATCACTGTGCCAATAGGGCATTGTCTTTTGGATAGCCACAGTGGGAGAAGTGTGCCTGTAGCTAATTTGAGTACCTAACTGCAATGGGTGAGCATCCCCAGTTGGAGGGCCGGGTTCAGTGACTGGGAAAGACGTGAAGGACCTCAGTTCTTTGAAGAGTTTCCTTTTTTTCCCCAGTGTCACCCTTGCTCTTACATTCGGGTCCAGAAGCAACAAGTAATCATCATCAGCATGTTACCTCCCTGTGATGTGCTTTTCTTTACAAGACCTGCCCTGCTGCAGCTGCATCTGGGTCACTTCTTGATGTCTAAACTTGATCTTCAGTCCAAGTGACAAAGACTGTTCTCTGCCTTTGCTTGTTCCCTGTGCCAGCACCGAGCACAGCCTGGGAGCTGAATGTTCCTTCTCTGCCCTCTTAGACATCAAAAGAGCACTCGCTTTTAGCCTGCTGCCAGGGCAAACAGATCCTAAAACCTACTGCAATTTAAAATTGCCCTGCAGAGAAAGGAAATTTTACCTAACAACTACATATATATCCTGGCTGAACAACA